TCGTTGTAACATATATCTACAATATATGTTATCATTCAAGTGCATATTTCAAAATTTATCGAGTTCAAGTCCTTTAATTTGGATGTGTAGGTCGTTGTAAATATTATGCGGTTTTCCAGAAATGTGTTTTCGAGGTTAATCTTAAACATTTAATTCCTTATTTGATTCAACTAAAAAGATAGATAAAAATTTAAATTAACAATTAAAAATTAATTTGAATCATACAATTTTATCAAAATTTACTAAAAATTTATTTTTTAACAAAATCAAAGAGTGGCTATATAAGTTTTAAAGATTAAAAGTATTCCAAAAAAATAAAAATAAATAAATCTAATAGATAATCCACGCATAGCCCACATACCATGTCAAGTCACTTCAAGTATATGGGATATTTTCGCATTGAAAGGGGATAAGATGCGTTCAAATAAATTTTAAAATTTCTTATGATGGTCCAACATGCTTTTTCTAAAAAATTAAAATGATTACGTTTGCGGTTTTATAAAAAATTTCTTGGTTCTAAAAAATTACGAACACAGATATATAAGTGGCATCATTGATATTTATGAAGAAATATACAAAATTTTCGAATAATAAGAATCAGGGATGAAGATAGAATTGGATTGCAAGGAACAAATGAATTGGTCCATGCCAGCCAGTGCCAAATCCTTCTCTAATAAGACTCATCCACTCTTATTTTTTCTTTTCTTTCAGTGTTCTACAACATTATTACTAATCTATATTACGAACTAGTGTAGAGAATGGAGATGGGGATGAAAGTAGGAGAACGATCGACACAAGCTCGAGGTGCAACAAGGGACGTAAATAAGTCAATTTGGTATAGGTAAAAAGTTGATAAAAATCTAAGTTAATTCAACAATTAATTTTAATCACATCTTTCGACTTTTATCAAATTTTCAGTCATATGTTTTATCAACTTTTGTCAAAATTCATTAAAAATCTCATTTTTAGCTGAATTAAACAGGGACTAAGTGAACTAATGAGGTTGTTCAAAGATTAATGACGATGACGAATCTGGTTCAAATCTAACAACAGTTTTTAGACGTTAAATATTATTCGATAAGTTGGACGTATAAATTTGACGGAAAGGATATTCCATGCAAGGTCTAATCATAATTGTAGCATATTTCTTGCATGTTAAAAGCAGCTTTCACATTGTAATCAAGAAATACGATGTGACTAAACCTTATGGCTATTGGCCCAAATGAAAGTGATTTGTGTTCGTGTCATCCTCTTACAGACAGACAGACCATTATTTTCTCTCCGACTCCACTCAGCTCAAATAAGAGAAACAAAATGCTTATTCCAAGGGATGAGTTAATCTTCAAAAACTGATGCTTTTTCTTAAGAATCCTGTCAAACTTTGACTTTGAATTTTTGGTTAGCTTTATGAAGTCATTTCTATTCACTGTGTATTCTTCTATAAAATTTTGAATGAAATAAAAAGGGAAAAAAATGGAAAAAGAAAAGGATCGATAAAAAGAATAATGAAACAAGAAAGAACTACCATCGTCAACCATCCCATAGTCTGTGTACGTGTGTGCGTATGAGAGAAATCATTGTCGCAAGCAGGGGCGGACCTAAGGGGGTTTATAGAGGCAATTGACCCTCTAAATTTTGGGGGAAAAAATTTTATTGCTTAGCTTTTTTTTCCTTAGTTTTTTTTATTAGAAGACACCCTATAAATTTTATTTTTGCCCCCCTAACGAAAGTCGTCTGGGTCCGCCCCTGGTCGCAAGAGTAGGAGCGAGAACGACAAGTATCACAAGATTTGGAATTTGGTTTAAGGAAAATGACAAAATGTAAGAGTGACTAGTATTAATATTGATACTTGAGATTTTATTTTAAAATTTCAATTTCGTCATGAAAATTTGTCCAAATTTTTATATGTCGGAGATCAATATTGATGTAATATTTTACTTTTAACAACTGCTATGGCGGGGTGGATTTTAGACTTCTATGTTTTCTTTTGGAGTAATGTTATTTATCTTCACTGAGATTGCAACAACAGTTTAGGTAGCACTAATATAACATTAAATAATAAGTGGAATTTAATTCCATTTCATTTAATCTATCATTTAGTGTCACATAGATTGAGGTTGTAACTCCAATGGGATTACATAGTATTACTCTTTCTTTTATCTTCTCTTTTTCTTTATTTTTGAAATAAGAATATAATAATCCTTATAAACTAGAATCTGACTAAATAATAGTTTTGTTGCCATCTAATGGGGATCTAGTTGTTTAAAAGCTGGAAAAAAATAAAAATTCACCCTCTGTTATTTTGTAGTTTGTATCTCAAGTCTAATTTTTTGCTAATATTTATGTCTTCACAAAAACAATTATATAAATATAGAAAGAAAAGAATCCCTAGTTTAGTTTATGTAAAAGTAAGATTTCTAGAATATTTTGATAAAAGTTAGTGAAATGCATGATTAAAAAATTAATAAAAATTGTGAGTCTATGAAATGTGTGATTGAAAATGAATTTAAAAAATATATATATTTTAAGAAATGAGAACCGCAACCCTGATCTACTACTCACTCCCATTAGACAAGATAAAAACTCCTCACTATTGATGTGACAAGATGCCTCATTTACGGTTCCTCTTGCCTATAGGGGACAAGAGATCAATAATTATGAGAACCAAATAGAAGAAACGCGAAGAATAAAAGCACAAAAAGATTTGTAGTAGTCGACACCATTTCCAAATGAAGAGATAGATGCTACAGCACATCCATCACCAATAATGACTGACTTCCATTAAGGGAAATGCCTAAGAATTTTGTGCCATTGTCCACTTCTCAATCAGCAGAAAATATAGTTGCTCCATGTGGCAACTTGCTCTAGATTCCATTTATTTTCAGATAAGCAGCTTAATTTGACTTCTTGTCTCTCCAACAGTTCCAGAATTGTAGTTAGTGCTTGTTTGGCGCCGTTTAAAGTGTTTATAATTTGTGAATCCTAGAATATCGTTAAATTTAGAACCTATGAAAGGACTTCCGTCAAATAAATACATGAATGTATAATCACAGGATGTGATTTATTGATTATCGTTGTCCCAAGTCAAAAATATTAAAACTGATCATGCATGTATGTAGAGTAAAAGATTCTAAAATTGTTGGAAGATGAGCTAAAGAGAGAAGAAAGCCATGGGGAGAAGACAGGTGGAAATGATAAGACATATTCTGCTATCTTCTCCCTGCTTCCATCTCATCCACTTGCAATAAGATTTATATTTTGCATGCATATATACCTCATCTCATCCTACTTTTTCTCAACCTTCCTTTTTGAACTCAAATTTGCATGTTTACCAAAGTTTCCTTTTTTCCTTTCTCATAAATAAGGAAAAAAAACATGCAATGTTATGTTTCTTAGCTAGTATTTCATAACTTTTATGCACCAATAAATTAATGAACTCCAAAAATTATGAAAAGTAATCACAAGACAATTGGAGTGTTTTATTTTTCCTTTAAACCACTAAATATGGTGTGTTCAATAAATTTAAGGGAAAATTGTAGCCACGGTCCTAAATTTTTGCATTTTTTTGTCGACATTACCTTAACCTTCAATTTTGTGCTATCACAGGTCCCAAACATTTGAAAAATTCGAAGATGCAGTCCAAAATGACGGAAAATGTTAGTTCCATTGTCAGCTAGCTTCAAAAATGGGAAAAAATGAAAATTTTAACCAATTTAAACGGGGTCATTTTCATCCAATTCTATTTCCCTTTATTCACTGTACCAAACATCGTTCATTTCCCTCCTTTTCCAAATCTTATACATTCTTCACTCTCTTCCATTTATCTTAGAGTATTTTTAGAATGAATATGGAGAGTAAAGTCTATAGATGTGATGACCCTATACAGATGAAGATCTCATGGACGAATTTGAACCTAGGAAGAAGATTTCTCACTTATCCATGACATTAGGATGTCGATGCAAGTAACTTCTTTGACTAGTACGACCCTCCAATGTGCGACAGAACGAGAGAGATAATCCCTAGATTTCTATGTGTTAGAAGAGAAATGGAGGTTGAACTAACACCCTACGTGCAAGACTCATGGTTCATGGAAGACCTAAATATTAGAATTTGTATGTGGTGTTTTTGTGAAATGGGTCAGTGCATAGATCTGTGCTAGATTTGAGCTCAGATGTTGTGTTTGTGTTTTGGAGCGTAGGTTTATGAGTTAGAAATTGAGTATTGTCGATGGTCTTGTAACTTATTTTCCATTAAATAAGACATATTATCATTCAACACTGTTGCCCTATTTTTCATTTCTTATAGTTTCCTCCCCTCCTCCTATGAGTATATGCTTCAAAACAAAGAAAAAAATATGTTCGAAAACCTGTTATAGATGGTGCATGCAGGTCTCAAACGTTTTCAATTATACATAGATAATGACCCAAACCTTTTACTTTGTCGTAGCGCAGGTCCCAAACATTTGTATTTAAATGCATATATAGTTCCAAACCTTTTAAATGAGTTGCAGAGTTCGATTTGGTTTGAAAGTTTTTTCTAGCCCTAGATTTCGATTTCGTTCATGATACTTCCTTAGGAACAATAGTGAATTCAATTCTCCCTAATTCTCTTTTTCCTAATATATTGCACAAATATACACCAAATATCACTAAACTTTAAAAGTATTTCATGCCAAAATTTCACTTTCCATACACTTCTTCTTTCTTTTATAGCAAAACCTAATGGATAATCAACATTTAAATTTAAAAAATTTTACAAATACTTTACAAAAATTCATAGTTTTCAAAGTGGTCGATAATAAGAATCAAGTCTTCTCCTTAAACATTACTAAAGATAATCCTATAATAGATACTACATGAATTTTTAAATATATAATGATGTAGGCATTCTTTTAAGAATTAATTTTTTATCCAAATTTTACAGTTTATATTGTATTTTATAGTTTATAATTTTTTATGTCCTTATTAAATGATCTTCAGTTTTTGAGTGCATTTCTATTTGTTGCCTTATTTAATTAATTTTTATATTTTTAGATTACAAGAATGATAAGAGGTTACAACTCTATTTCATACTTTGCTTTTATAAATTTTCAATATAAAAAAATTGGACCGATCTAAACTAGAATTGATAGGTTTGGTTCTATAGTTAGATACAAAATCAATGATTTTAGTTTTTGGACTCTCATTGGTACTTGGTTCAGTTTGGTTCCCTTCGAAATCAGATCGTGCCCACTACTAAATGTCCCTTACTAAAAACTCAGCAACTTCTGTACTTGTAAGAAAAAAATAATCTATCCCTGTTGGAAATCAAAATTTACTTAGGAGTAAGTGTGTCTTAAAAATTTACTTCATTTTTTCCCCCATGATCTGTAATTTTCTCTATTCTATTCCTTTAACTTTTCAAGAATATGTACGATCCATAAGTTGATGATATCCTGTTTTTCTCACTTCTTGAGCTTTATGATTGACTCACAAGCAACTTGTTTTCAGTAAATTTCAGATCAACTAGACAACTATTGATGCAACAAAAATAAGATTAGCACTCGAAACTGGTTGATTCAATTGAATACCGAAATTTTTGACATCATATATCTCTTGATTTGCAAAGAATATATATAGAGTAAATGGAAGAATTGAGAAAATCTAGTCTTCCATAAAATAACCTAAAAATAATGAAGCCCTAAGCTTTCTTGAAAAAAAAAAAGAAAAAAAAACTTTTGGAATGTAATTTTAATCAAATAGTCTTACTAATCATAAAATCTATATTTATAATATATTGAATATTAGATCAAGTGAGAATTATTTTTGGACAATTCTAGCCTACTATAATTAAATTATTTCAGTAATACCTTACTTTTTATTTTTAATATGTATTTATTTATTTAATCATTTAGTTACTATCAATGTACATGTACATTTAACAAATTCATTTCACGTATATGCTTTTATTAATGTATGAATTCTCTATTATTAATTAACATTCACATTCATTTAATTAATATTCATCTTCATTTATGCATTTCAATGTTATTAGTTCTAATTATAAGTTAATTAGAATATCACATTAAAGAATACATTTCATTAATTATCATCCATTTTTACTTAATGGAAAATTAAATAAATAATTTAACATCCATTATTATGTATTTATTTCCAAGTATTAATTCTAAATTAATTAACATCCATGCATATTGAAATATTACTTTTACACTGCTTATTAAACATTTCATAATAATATGCAATGCATGTTCGATGTTAACCAATGATAATAATAACAAAGAAATTAGAAATAAAATAAATTAAAACATAAGGGCTGCATCTTGTTTGCATTAATTATATATAAATAGATACAATTTTCTATTTAACTGTCAAAGCTATCATGCTGCTAGATTTTGGAAATATATGTATAACCAAATAAAAGAAAATATAGATGAGAAGTAATTATTTTGAACTCCTAGAATATCTTACAAAGCCGTCAAATGTGCTTAATCGTCAGCTTCCAGAACCAGCAGAATAAAGAAAATGATTCGTACTGCACCAAAATTCTTTTATAAGGTTCTTATTCTAAATTCTTCCTCTCCAACGTTGAAACTTTTCCTACATGCATAGCAACTTATGCCAACACTTTTTTTTCATAATAATTATAACCCCCATAATCAAGTATTTTATTTCAAAAAGAGTAAATCTATATAGCTACCTTTTCGCTTCCATAATCATCAAATTAAGTTTAAGCATGATCAGTCAGTTATTTACTAATGATAAAATTAAGGACCTTTGTTTAAACAGACATCAACACACAGTTTTGCCCTATAAATAGAGAAGTTGGAGAAACCCTCAAATCACACAAACTCATGTTCTCATTAGTGCCTTCTCTAGTCTCCCTGTTCGTCACTTTTCTACCCTACAGTCCTACAAGTCCCCAACTTGTTTAGGATTTTCTTGAAATTAAGATGACAGGATGAAGTGATATTGGTGATGAGTTGACAGAAGATAGAGAGCACAGATGATGGGAATACAATAACTTCCTATGTATCTCAATCTTTGTGCTCTCTAGTCTTCTGTCATCACCTTCTGCCCTCACCCTGTTGTTTTAATTTTCTTGACTTTTTTCTTCTAAACTATTCACTGTCAAAACCGTTATCTTGGCCAGATAAAAGGTGTAAAGGCTTGACCAGGGTATGTACAACGGGTGGCGGCGGGACTTGAATGTAGATTTTTATTTCGTTTGATACCACATAGAACTAACTTTTCTGAAAGCCAGATGAGATGGTTCAAGGTCAACTTGGTATTTGGTTCCCCTCTCTTGCCAGCGATTACAGTGAGCTCATATACATATTTTAAGAGTGGAAGGCAGTGAGAGTGTTGTTGACAGAAGATAGAGAGCACAGATGATGAAGTGCTTGAAATTGGCCCGCATCTCACTCCTTTGTGCTCTCTATTCTTCTGTCATCACCCTCCACCCATCTTCCATAATGCATTTTGCACTGTTTTTGTTCAAATTCATGATAATTCCTCAAGCCAAATAGAATGTTATCTTAGCTTGTTTCTGGAGTTGAAATTCATAGATTAATTTTATTAGCTATTCCGGGACAGAAAAGAAAAAGAAAAAAACCACTTGTTATCTTTTGCATCAACTTGATTATTATTCTCTCTCCCTTCTTATCCTATACTCCAGCGAGTCCCTCACTTCCAGATTGAGTTGGAGAGTAATTTTTTGGCATATCTAGTTAGGACTTTATTTATATGTCCTTATCTTCTTTCTACTAGCTAGTAGACAACCTGGCTTGTCCCAATTAAGTTATGTTTGCAAATTGCAGCCAAACATATGGAATCCCTTGCACATATCTTTGCTATGTTCAATTGGGCACTGGTAATTGTAAGTCAATACACATTTTACTATTTAATGCTTTATATTTATCTTCTGAATTTGCTACCTGTTAATATTCATTTACCAACATATTTTTACAGGGTTTACCTATTTATTTTGTACTGATACTCGGGAATTCGGTTCATCTGAATTAACAACTTTCTAAATTATTTCAATGGTCGTAGATTAACCCATAACAAATGAAGGAGTTAATCTCGTATTTATAATGTTAATTACTGTTTATATCACACTTCAGGCTATTGAATAATATTAATTTGCACCTATGTTGAAGAAAGCCCTACAATTTACTAACTTGGATACCTTAAATATTCATGTTCTTGGGAATTCAATAAAAATCTAAACTAATATTAATTCTTGCATTTCCATTTCTTACAGGAGATTGAAGAATAGAATGAGAGAAAACAAAGAGATGGGAACCCTCACAAATGGCTCACACACAAACTGTGTGAAGAAAATGGAGAAGTGTGCCTTTTATACGCCACCACAAAACCACAGATTCAACGTTCGATATTCAGCCACGTGCAAGCCAAATTGCACCAAAATACAATTCAAAAGTCACATTTCAAGAAATGCACCTTTTTAAAATAATAGTCAAAGGTCCAAGTCCAAGTCCAAGTCAATTTCAACATGTATGTTTCGAAGAGTTGTGTTGAGTTTTCGATATTGTATTAATGAGGAGAAAATTTAGGCGTAACTCTTGTATGTTGTAAAGAGATGTAAGACTTGCAGTCTACAACTTGAGGATTACTGTGTTTGTTGAACTGCTAAATCCTTGAATCAAATGTTTCTAGTGCAAAGACTCGATCAATAAGCATATTGTAAAACTGTAAATCTAGATTAAAAAACAACCCAGAATGGAGGTTGAATAGGATGTTATCAAATCTTTTGATTTCAACCGATTATTGCGGAATATTCAAAGTAAAATTATGTTTTTCTCGTATTGCTGTAAACATTGAGTCATTGATTATTTGATTGAATGATAACTACCAGGTTTCAAGAAACCACAAAAATAAGAAATTCAATATATACCTTGAATGGTGATTCACCTATACTAACTTTAATCTTGTTTTTGTATCTTAATCGCGCAAGTTATACTGAAAAGAAAATATATGGTCAATATGCGACATAACATGCTAAGCTACGAAGAGAAATCCCACCGTGCCCATCTTTATTTTTTGTAGGTTTCGACATTTCCTCCTCTGTTTACTGGAAGTGAGAAAGGCCTCCTACACCCTCAAAATTAATTGACGTATTTATTGAATATTCTGAAATTGACGGCATCAAAGTTATAGCCTGTCCTAATAGTATGATGCTATGAACCATTGAACTACAATCCCAAAGAATCATGAAATCTAACATAAAATTTATTTCTTTTCGAGAGGTTATACCATCTCATAATAAAGTGGTGAATTATTGGGCAAGCTCGACTTTGACATATTGCCATCGAATTTATTGTTTGTTTCTATCAACTACTTGGGCATCGATTATGGAAGAATCCATTATAGACTTGATAATACACGATCAACTTCCTTTTGTAGTACTCCATCGAAATTCAAGTACCTCATTGAATGTTGTTCACATGGAAGTACAAAAGGTGAAAATGCCCCTTCGCATAAATAATAAATTACACAAACCTATGCATTGATACAGAGGTATATTGGTCATTTGGCCCGTTGAAAGGAGTGGACATTTCGCTGGATGGTGTCGAAAGTTGCACATTAAATTTAAGAAGCATGTTAGGTGTATAACATTTTTTACACTTTATTTGTATGCCCTCTCACATTACACGGGGAGGTCCTGCGATCAAAATGATTGCAGGACCTACTCATATGAGTGGACTGTCAAAAAAAGTGTACAGCATAGCATTTCTGTAAATTTAATTTAACATTTTTTTCTTAGCTTTGGGACCCACACGAAGGCACCAAAAAATAAATTTTTTGATTTTATCAATTTCCCACATGCGCATATCACTTCTTTTGTCATTAGGTATAGTCTCCCAGTATTTCTAAGTTTAAATTATTTATACTTTAATTTTTCTAGATTAATGCTGCATTGGATTTAAAAATATTGATTCTTGTTGATTTTGAGCCAATTGTGTAGGTTCTTGAGTGAGTATGTGATGTTGTTATAAATAAAAATCAGTATTTTAAAAAAAAACAAACTAATTCTTAAAGCTTTATTCTTTTTCTTTAAAAAAAAAAAAAAAAAAAAAAACTACTAAAGATGCTTTAAAATTTTTCTTCTCATCTCTCTCCACTTAATCAACAACAATATTTTTCTCCTATCTTTCTCTCCGTCGCAATGCACAAATATCTTCCAGACAGCTCAACTTTGTCTAGACTCAATTAAATTCCTGATTCCCCCCAGTTTTAAGCCCTATAACCTTGAGAAAATTTCTTTGTCATGCTGTTTGATTTTTTTTTTTGAAAAAAAATAAATACATACTTGTGAAGTGTTTAGAGGATCTTGAGACAATAATAAATAGCGATCGCATTTATATGATATGAATGTTGGAAATAAAAAATTTATGGGATGAAAGACTAGAAAGAAAAATTCAGAAAATTCTCAAAAATATTTGTATTCTATGGTTGGCTGAATATAATGTCTCAAGCACAAGGTTTTTTATAGGTACAAAGGATCCCAAATACATTGTATGAACTTAATAGACTAATTAATGACTTTTCCTACATACTATGAATAATAGGATACAAAGAACCATTTGGATACATGATTTAAATAAATGTATGAATATTAAATAAACTAATTCATGTATCAAATTTAATTTTTTTTCATCATTCATAAATCAAGTTTAATTTCCAACACCCCTTTTTAAACTTGATTCCCTCTTGATAACTCCAATCCAAGTACGCAATCTTGCAAAATCTTCATTCTTCAATGATTTGATGAAAATGTCTGCTACTTGATCATTAGTCTTAAGATAAGCAAGCTCAAATTCTTTACACTCAGTGCATTTTCTAATGACGTGAAATCTCGTATCTATATGCTTGCTTTGATCATGGAACATATGATTTTTACCCAAAGCAATAACTGACTTGTTATCAACATAAATTGGCGTAGCTTCGTTTTGATGCATATGAAGCATTTCCAATAATTTTCATAGCCAAATGGCGTGACAAACACACGATGTAGCTGAAACATATTCAGCTGTACAAGTAGAAAGGGTCACAATGGGCTGCATCTTTGAACACCAAGTGAAAGCGGTGTTACCCATGAAAAACAAAAATCCAGTGGTACTTTTTCAACCATTAATATCACTAGCCCAATCACTGTTACTATAACCATAAACCTTGAAATTTGTAGAAGAAGAATAAGCTAAGCCATAATCAAGGGTACCTTTAATGTAGCGAAGTATTCTTTCAGCAATCTCCAAGTGAGTTAAAGATGGTGCCTCCATATAATGGCTAACAAGACCAACACCATAAAGAATATCGGGTCTTATACAAGTCAACTATCTCAAACTTCCAACAAGTTGTCTATAAAGAGATGGATCCACGTTCGTGCTCTCGTCATATTTTGACATCTTTGTTCCACACCCAATGGGAGTACTCACCGGATTGCAATTTTGCATTTTGAATCTTTCAAGAACTTTCTTTGCATAAGCTTCTTGAAAAATAAATGTCATCTCCATTTTGTTTTACCTCAATTCCGAGGTAGTATGACATGAGACCAATGTTAGTTATCTAAATTCTTGAGCCATCATTCTCTTAAATTCATCAAACATATTTTCATTGTTGCCGATGAAGATCAAGTCATCAACGTACAAGCACACAATCATAAAACATCTAAATGCGTCCTTTTTAACTTAAAGAGCATACTCATGTGGACATTTGATGAATCCATGATCTTGAAAATACTTGTCAATCCGGCTATACCATGTTCTAGGCGTTTGCTTCAAGTCACATAGCGCCTTCTTCAATTTCAAAACTTTATCTTCATGTTTCTTGACAACATAACTTAATGGTTGTTGAACGTACACTTCTTCTTCGAAGTATTTATTCAAGAAAGCGGACTTGACGTCCATTTGATAATTTTTCCACTTATTTTGAGCTGCCAAGGAAATGATTAATCAAATAGTTTCCAAGCAAGCAACGAGGGCAAAGACCTCATCATAGTCAATGTCATGCTTTTGGCTATAGCCTTTGGCAACAAGTCTTGTCTTGTATTTCTCCACTTCTCCTCGAGTATTTTTCTTTACTTTGTACACCCATTTCACGCTAATTGCTTTTTGCCCTTTAGGAAGAGAAGCTAGCTCCCATGTATTGTTCTTTTTTATTGCTCGGATCTCTTCATCCATTGCATGTCTCCATTTATTGTCTTTCATTGCCTCTTCAAAGTTCAATGGCTCGATGTCAGCGAAGAGACAAAACAAAGATGGATTATCAACAATTTCAGTTTTTTCATAAATCTCTGCAAGATTTATGATACGACTCGATCTTTCGGAGGGACTATCATGAGGAGATTGAGGAGCAGGAGAATGCAGTGGAGTGGCTTCTTCACTTGCGTTTTGGCTAGAGTCTCCTTCTTGGAAACGAAAAATCACGTATTCTTCAATTTTTGGAACATTCCAATCCCACGAACTTCTTTCGTCGAATTTCACATCTTTACTAATAACAATCTTTCCATTGCAAGGATGATAAAACTTGTAGCCTTTAGAGTTTGCATCATAACTGATGAAAATAAACCTCTCACTTTTCTCATCAAGTTTTAATCTCTTCTTATTTGGTACATGAATATAGGTAATGCTACAAAAAACACGTAAATGAGAAACACTAGGTTTCTTACCACTCCAAGCTTTTTGTGGAGTCATGTCTCGAACACTCCTCGATAGGGAAAGATTAGACAAATATATAGCACATGCAACAGCCTTGGCCCAAAACTCATTCTCCATATTCTTGCTCTTAAGCATACTACGAACCATGTTGAAGATGGTTCTATTCTTCCGCTCCACAACACCATTTTGTTGTGGTGATCTTGGAATTGTAAGAAAATGCCGGATTCTATTAGTATCACAAAATTGTTAAACTTCTTGAAAGTAAATTCTCCACCTCGATCCGTCCTTAATGCTTTGATTGAGTTGTCACTCTCATTTTCGACAAGGGCTTTGAATTTTTTGAATGCTCCAAAAATTCATCTTTCGTCTTTAAAAAATAAACCCAGGTCTTGAGAGAAAAATCATCAATAAATAGTAAGAAATAATTTGCTTTACCATGAGAGGGTGGTTTGATTGGCCTGCACACATCCGCATGAACAAGTTGGAGTGACTTTGTTGCTCTTGCGGTGGATTCCTTTGGAAAGCTTCTTCTAGTTTGCTTGCCAACGAGACATCCTTTACAAAGTTAATTGGGATGATTAATTTTTGGCAACCCATTCACCATTTCTTCATTCGTCAAGGTCTTCAAGCCGCCAAAATTCAAATGACCAAATCTTAAGTGCCAAAGCTAAGAATTGTCTTCAACCAAGCTTTTAGACACCTTGGATGGTCAACATTAACATTGAGTAAAAACATTCTATTCTTCTTCATTGGCACATTTGCAATCAATTTATGAGAAACATCTCTCAAAGTAAGGCAACGATTCTTCAAGTGAACGTCATAGCCATTCTCAAGTAATTGTCTCAAACTCAAACTATTAGACTTCAAAGTAGGTACATAATAAACTTGAGAAATCAAAAGATGACTTCCATTTTTAGCACGAATAAGAACATAATCTTTGCCTTTTATTGGAATTTTAGTTTTACCTCCAAAACTAATGTTGCCTTTTATCGACTCATTTATTGTTGAGAATAACTCCTTGTTGCCACACATGTGATTGGCGACACTGGTGTCAAGGTACCACGATTGTTTATTATTTTCTTCTTTGGTTGCCAACAACAACAACAATTCTTCATATTCCTTTACTTTAACTTAATTCACTCTCTCTTCATTATTGGTGGTGTCACTCTTACATTCGGAAGTATAGTGACCATATTTATGACAAATGTAATATTGAACATTGGACTTGTCATATCTTCTTCAGCCACCTCTCTTGGAGCCATAGTTCCAACACCCTCGTTCTCTCGATTGATTGCTTGATTTGTCATTATTCAAATTTTGTTTTCCATCATTTCTTTCATTACCATGACCATAATTTTCTCCGCAACCACGACCACGACCTCAACCATGAATTTGACCTCTTCCTTGAGATCGTCCTTGCTTTTTCTGTTGACTTCCCAAGGAGACTTTCGTTTGGAGAACTTGAGCCACCGATTCTCCTTTCTTTTTCAATCTTTCTTCATATGCTTGCAAGGATCCCATGAGCTAATCAAGGGTCATGGTATCCAAGTCATTAGACTCTTCAATGACAATACTAACAAACTCAAGTTTTGAATCAAGCGATTTAAGAATTTTCTCGATAACACGGCTTTCTTCAATATTCTCCCCGTATCGCTTCATATGATTGACAATGGAGGACATTCTTGTGAAAATAGTTAAAGACAGATTCAGACTCTTTCATGTATAGAGATTCGAACTCCCCACGAAAGATTTGAAGGCGAATCTTCTTCACTTTTTAAATTCCTTTGAAATTGTTCTCGAGAATCTCCCAAACTTCCTTAGTTTTTGTTGAGGATGCAACTTTCTCGAACATGGCTTCATCTAAGCCCATATGAATAATAGAGAGAGCGTGTTGATCTAATTTGCGGTACTTTTGCAAGGTATTCCTTTGAGCTTGACTTATAGCTCCTTCATTCTCTGGTTCATCATAACCTTTCTCTACAACTTCTCATGCCTCTTATGAGTCGAGTAATGCTTTCATGCGTATGCTCCAATGTCCATAATTTTCCTTTGTTAGTTTGGGAACAACAAAAGGAAATGAACTATTCATCTTTGAAATGGCTCTAATACCATTTCGTTGGAAATAAAAAAATTATGGGATGAAAGATTAGAGAGAAAAATTCAGAGAATTCTCAAAAATATTCGTATTCTATGGCTTGGCTGAATAAAATGTCTCAATCACAAGACTTTTTATAGGTATAAAAGATTCCAAATACATTGTATGAACTTAATAGACTAATTAATGACTTTTCCTACATACTATGAATAATAGGATACAAAGAACAATTTGGATACATGATTTAAATAAAAGCATGAATATTAAATAAACTAATTCATGTATCAAATTTAATTTTTTTCGTCATTCATTAATCAAGTTTAATTTCCAACAATGAAACACGTGTTTCTCTTTTTGTTGCATATTTTGACGATGTGAAGGAGAAAACTTTATTCACATTAATATGTTCATTTAAAACCTTGATAGTTGTTTTTAAAGCTAATTTATTTTTCGTCAAATACATAACACTTGCATAATTTATATAAATATGTGATGACAAGATTTTACCTCAAATCTTTTACAGGCTCTTATCCCATGTAAATTGTTTCTTTTCAATGCCTAAGTTGTTGCAGGTAAGAGAAGAGACTCTCTCATTATTTAAATCTAGTTTGAAAAGTTTAAACTTCGATAAAAGAATGAATTATATCCTATTTATCTTAAAAAATACACCTGAATAAAATTTCTTTAATAAATTGAAGATTATTAATTAATTATATATAGAATGTGGCTAAATGTGCCCAAACATACAAATAAACATGGATTTCAAGATCATATTAAAACGTTCATTTCTCAATCAATTAAAATTTTTGGTGAGACCTCGTAACAAGTCAATGTTCATTTTTTTATTTTTTTAACATTCATATTTTAAACCTAAATGACTTATATCATATTAAAATCGCTTCCAATAATAACTTGAAAAATTGAAAAATTTCATAAAAAATGAAATTGAATTTTTTCCCCATTTTGTTCTAACCTGAATGGCTGATGAACACGTGTTTCATTTCAAACAACTGTATTTTTCAAACTACAAACTGGTCCATGTCTATGATTTGTTGTCGGTCTAGAAGAATCTCATTATCCTGACACTATTTATTTGGATTCTTGCCAACAATTCTTTTGGAATTGTAAACATCTATCTGATAAACAAAAGGATGGCATTCCGAAGACGTTCAACTCCACCTCCTCCACCACCACCAACGGATCCTTTTGCACCACCTCCACCCCCGCCACTGGCACAAGGCATGTATGCATCCCCACCACCATCTCCACCACCGCCTCCACCACGTAAATATTATGCGATGCCGCCACCGCCACCTCCTCCAAGTCCAGTTCCTTTACCACCTGGACCACCACCTTATTCAACACTTCCTGGATCATTAAATCCCCCACCGTTGGTGTACACAGATCGACCAGGACCACCTGGTCCCTTATTACGATCCACATCAACCACCTCCTCCATGGAACCGCCCTCGACCGCCTTACTAGTGACTCGATATGTGTGCTTAATTCTGGCCTAGCTATAAGACTTGCGGAGTGTTGTAATCAAATCAGTAAGTATATTTCCTTTTTTCTTGTCTTGCTTCGAAGAAACTAGAAATGGTTTGTTTATTATGTATCATTGGCATGTACTAATTCTTATTACAGTATACGTGTCTGAACTTTGATGATATCTGAGTCTCATTCTGGTGTTTCTTGATCATGATAATCATATGTTTATTTCATCTGTGACTGTGTGGAACAAGACGGGAAAAACTCTTTTTCTTTGTAGAAAATAGTGCTAAAAAGGAAGTCTCTGTTTTGGGAATAATTTCCCTTTTACTATTGGTCCGAATACTTTTCTCAAACTTTTATTTATTTATTTATTTAAATTAACCATATTATTTTGAAATTCTTCTTCACATTAATGTATCACGAATAAACATGTCTCCTCCAAACTCTTCATTCTCTGGAACCAATTCAATCTGGGCTGGAGTTGTTCCCTCAAATATCCTTTGTCTTGCTTCCATTGCCTGTCGTATGCAAGAATCAATGAGCAGGTGATTAATACTAAGAAAGAAATATTCAGTTTGGATAGAATTAATAGCACAAGAAGCAGTTGAATTCGAACCTGTTTCTCCCAATCTGTGAGAATTGTTACAAGAGAAAACAAGAAAGATTGCAGTGTTGCCCCTGCTACCAATCCAATCCAAAGGCCCTTTCCTCTAAAGTGGTAAACAAATCCCACCAGCAAAGCCACTGGAATTCCAACCAGATAATATAAACCAAGATTCACATAGGCTCCTATTTTCTGCCAACCACTGCCTCTAGCTGCACCTGAATCCAAAAATGAAAAATAAGAAAATTAAAATGGAAACATATGATGATACAAGAACAAATTGCTAATATTCCCAACAGTTGTATTAAGATCAGGGACGAATGCAGGATTTCAGTTCAGCTAGGGCGGAGGAGCTTGGCCATCGATAGTTGATCGTTAACCATTGACTGTCGATGATCAACGATCGTAATAGCTCGATCGTTTATTAAAATTTTATCAAAAAATATTAAAAATTATTTAATATATGTAAATACATTAAAATGTAAAAATTATATATATGCGAAAATATAATTCAATACAATCCAAAATACTAAAAAAATACACTACAATATTACTCTGTAACTGTAAACTTAGATAATTGTATTTCATGAGTCTCATATTTTGAAAACATTTCAATATTGCCTCATGATCAATTTTTCTAAAAATATCTTTCTCCATAGATTTTCGATCTGGTTGAAAAAATCGTTCCATAATATGCAAAATACCCCAATTTATTTTTCCATTAGAATTGATTAAAAAACAGAGTACTAAGTCCACACAAGTTGAATTGTGCCCAGCATCTTGTCAGTTCATTTTTTTTTCACTTATTATAATTTCCTAAACATAAATTCCCAAATCAATAATCATAAATCATAACTCATAAAACATGAATATATCATAAATTAGTAAAATCACCATTTTCAGTAATAACTCATAAAAAATAAATCATAACTCATAAATAATAATAAAAAAAATTGCCTTTTATATGAATGAATGTGATTCACCGTCCACTAATTAATAAGCAATAACACAAATTAAAGAAATATCAACCAATACTCAACATTTAACAAGTCAGCATATAGAACAAAAACAACGAAAAAAGAGAGAAGGGGATTAAGAGAAACTGAGAAAGGCACTCACCACACCAATCATCAGTCCACTATAGGCGACAACTCCTTGCCTGTCAACCATTAGCAGCAGGCAGGTCATTGCTTTCAACTAAAAGGGTTTGCAGTTTTAAATTTCAACTAGAGCTTAGACGGGTTTGTTTACGGTTTCACATTTGCCTCGGTTTGCCTTTTATTACTTGGAATTGGATTGGGGTTTGGGCCATTTGTTTTTTACCATGATTTATTGATTTGGGCCAGTTTTTTTAAAGAAAAAGAGGCCCATGTGTGTCAATTGTCATCAGCCCAAAAAATATAAAATAGAATTTTGGTCGTCTTCTTCCCTCTTCCGTTTCTGCAACTACCAGTTTGCCATTGCCAACATTTGGTGCCCGACAGCTCCTGAACATTCCGGCGAAGCCAGCACGCGCGGCCGCGCCCCCTCGCCAGGTGCTGGCTCCGCCCCTGATTAAGATGTATATAGATCACCAGAGAATATAGCTTGTAAACTGTCCATGATGATGGAGAGGCAAAGTACAGGAGTCATTTCTTTTACATAAACCACGACTTCTTTTTCATCGCTAAATACATAGCCCAATATGTGACGATAAATGAAGATTGCAGTGCTTGCTATGACGAACTCTGCAGTTGACAGAATCAGCACCGTGTATAGAGCAATTTGGGCTGCCTGAGGTTTCCCAGCTCCTAGTTCGTTTGAAATCCGAGTGCTTCAAAGTGTATATGATTTTCATCTCAGAATGTAAACACGATATATAAGTAAAACTTGTAGTCATATATTCTGAGAGAACCTTGCAGCAGCACCAAAAGAATATGGTATGTTGTAGTGCATTGAAGTAGTCGTCATGCTGTTTGGAAAATGAAATTGGGTCAAAAAAGAATTTATGCCCTGTGTATTCAAATGATCTGTAGAAAGTACTAGAAATGAACATTACCACATAGATAAAACAGACATTTCAAGTTCTGGATTAGGCATTAGTCCTGAAAGAAGTATGATTATCTCAAATGACCACCATTCAGAAAGAGAAAAAAAAATTGAAAAGTCGAGGAGCATCCAAGAATTAACAAAGATTCACAAAATCACAATAATAACAGTAAGTAAAGTGCAAAAATTGTAAAATCAACACAAGGATTTTTCGGCCAAAACCCAGAGGTTCGGCGACCACTTCTAACGCTTAATCCCCCGTTGAGCATCTATTAAAATGGATAAAGTTCGATTGCACTATAAAGCGCCAAAAACAAGCAGCAAGTATACAATAATGTTCTAGAAATATTACAAGAGCCAAGTCACTAAGACTTAATTGAACCAACAAGGCAGACCACACTTCCACGAAGAAATCAAAAATGGATCACACAGATCTCCTTAAACATTACTAAAGATAATCCTATAATAAATACTGCATGAATTTTTTTCAATATATATTGATGTATGAAATCTTTTAAGAATTAATTTTTTTATCCAAATTTTACAGTTTTTATTGTATTTGATACTTTATCATTTTTATACCCTTATTAAATGATCTTCAGTTTTTGAGTGCATTTCTATTTGTTGCCTTATTTAATTAATTTTTATATTATTAGATTACGAGAATGATAAGAGGTTTCAACTCTATTTCATACTTTGCTTTTATAAATTTTCAATATAAAAAATTGGACCGATCTAAATCGAATTGATAGGTTAAGTTCTATAGTTAGATACAAAGACAATGATTTTATTTTTTAGACTCTCATTGATACTTGGTTCAGTTTGGTTCCCTTCGACCTAAATGTACTTAGGAGTAAGCATGTCTTAAAAATTTACTTCATTTTTTTCCCATGATCTATAATTTTCTCTATTCTATTCTTTTTAACTTTTCAAGAATATGTGATCCATAAGTTGATGATCTCCTGTTTTTCTCACTTCTTGAGATTTATGATTGACTCAGAAGCAACTTGTTTTCAGTAAATTTCAGATAAGTAGACAACTATTGATGCAACAAAAATAAGATTAGCACTCAAAACTGGTCAATTCAATTGAATACCGAAATTTTTGACATCATATATCTCTTGATTTGCCAAGAATATATATAGAATGAATGGAAGAATTGAGAAAATCTAGTCTTCCATAAAATAACTTGCAAAATAATGAGGCCCTAAGCTTTCTTGAAGGGAGGGGAAAAAAAAAACTTTAGGAATGTAATTTTAATCAAATAGTCTTACTAATCATAAAATCTATATCTATAATATATTGAATATTAGATCAAGTGAGAATTATTTTTGGATAATTCTAGCCTACTATAATTAAATTATTTCAATAATACCTTACATTTTATTTTTAATATGTATTTAATTTATTTAATCATTTAGTTACTATTAATGTACATGTACATTTAACAAATTCATTTCACCTATATGCTTTCATTAATATATGAATTCCCTATTATTAATTAACATTCACATTCATTTAATTCACATTCATCTTCATTTATGCATTCCAATGTTATTAGTTCTAATTATAAGTTAATTAGAATATCACATTCAAGAATGCATTTCATTATTCATGTCCATGTATGTTAATTATCATCCAGTTTTATTTAATTGAAAATTCAATAATAATTTAACATCCATTATCACGTATGTCAAATATTACTTTTGCACTGCTTATTAAACATTTCATAATAATATGCAATGCATGTTCGATGTTAACCAATGATAATAATAACAAAGAAATTAGAAATAAAATAAATTAAAACATAAGGGCCGCATCTTGTTTGCATTAATTATATATAAATAAATACAATTTTCTATTTAATTGTCAGAGCTATCATGCTGCTAGATTTTGAAAATATAGATGAGAAGTAATTATTTTGAACTCCTGGAATATCTTACAAAGCCGTCAAATGTGCTTAATCGTCAGCTTCCAGAACCAGCAGAATAAAGAAAATTATTCGTACTGCAACAAAATTCTTGTATAAGGTTCTTATTCCTAAATTCTTCCTCTCCAACGTTGAAACTTTTCCTACATGCATAGCAACTTATGCCAACGCATTTTTTTTATAATAATTAAAACCCCCATAATCAAGTATTTTATTTCGAAAAGAGTAAATCTATGTAGCTACCTTTTCGCTTCCATAATCATCAAATTAAGTTCTTAGATTGGTTAAGCATGATTAGTCAGTTATTTACTAATGATAAAATTAAGGACCCTTTGTTTAAACAGACGTCAACACACAGTTTTGCCCTATAAATAGAGAAGTTGGAGAAACCCTCAAATCACACAAACTCATGTTCTCATTAGTGCCTTCTCTAGTCTCCCTGTTCGTCGCTTTTATACCCTACAGTCCTACAAGTCCCCAACTTGTTTAGGATTTTCTTGAAATTAAGATGACAGGATGAAGTGATATTGGTGATGAGTTGACAGAAGATAGAGAGCACAGATGATGGGAATACAATAACTTCCTATGTATCTCAATCTTTGTGCTCTCTAGTCTTCTGTCATCACCTTCTGCCCTCACCCTGTTGTTTTAATTTTCTTGGCTTTTTTCTTCTAAACTATTCACTGTCAAAACCGTTATCTTGGCCAGATAAAAGGTGTAAAGGCTTGACCAGGGTATGTAAAATGGGTGGCGGCGGGACTTGAATGTAGATTTTTATTTGTTTTGATACCACATAGAACTACCTTGTCTGAAAGCCAGATGAGATGGTTCAAGGTCAACTTGGTATTTGGTTCCCCTCTCTTGCCAGTGATTACAGTGAGCTCATCATATACATATTTTAAGAGTGGAAGGCAGTGAGAGTGTTGTTGACAGAAGATAGAGAGCACAGATGATGAAGTGCTTGAAATTGGCCCGCATCTCACTCCTTTGTGCTCTCTATTCTTCTGTCATCACCCCTCAACCCCATCTTCCGTAAATGTATTTTGCACTGTTTTTGTTCAAATTCATGATAATTCCTCAAGCCAAATAGAATGTTATGTTAGCTTGTTTCTGGAGGTGAAATTCATAGATTAATTTTATTAGCTATTCCGGGACAGAAAAGGAAAAGAAAAAAAACCACTTGTTATCTTTTGTATCAACTTGATTATTATTCTCTCTCCCTTCTTATCCTATACTCCAGTGAGTCCCTCTCTTCCAGATTGAGTTGGAGAGTAATTTTTTGGCAAATCTAGTTAGGACTTTATCTATAAGTCCTTGTCTTCTTCTACTAGCTAGTAGAATAATTTGGTGATTCGAAAAAACCTGGCTTGCTTGTCGCAATTAAGTTGTGTTTGCAAATTGCAGCCAAACATATGGAATCCCTTGCACA